GAGACTGAAGACTTGCCCAGCGAAGAAAAAAAGTGCGATCCCCGGGGGGGGTCAACAATAATTATTTTCAGAAAGGAGAAGTCAACAAAAACAACCGCCACCACCACCACCAACACCACCAACAACTACAACAGCAGTAGCAGCAGCAGCAGCAGCAGCACCAGCAACATTCAAACGTCATCAACGACAACAGCATCAGCTCCCTCCGAATATTCCTCACACTTATTCCAAAATCGATCGCTCGCGCGGGACTGCCTCACAATGTATGCAGGAATCGCTCTCTCGCGTGGTACTTCATCACAACTTATTGCGGCATCTTGCCCCTAAGACTCAGGAATCACGCTCTCGCGGTGGATGTCCTAACGATTTACATGGAAATCGCTTTGTCTTTTGAAATACCCTTCATGATGGGTTCGTGCATTAGCGACCCGCCCAGTCGACCTGGCCGTCTGGGCCCGCCCGCCCGACCTGGCCGATCCCCCTCCAGCGGTGCCCCTCCTGAGGTTCACACCTGGTGCTGTACAATCAATGTCTTGAGCCTCGGGATGTGCCCCTACCATCCAAACTAGAACAACAACCCGCCTGATACTTCCCCACAATGTATTCAAAATGGCGCTCTCGCGCAGGACTTCCTCCACTTGTCCAAGAGTCGCGCTCTGGCGCGGAACTTCCGCGCAATGTATTGAACGGCCGCGCCCTCGACACTCAGAAATCACGCTCCTTGCCGTCGCTCGGACGTCCGTTTCCCGTGCATGTTTCAGTTTCGTGCGTGTTTGTGTTGCTCGATGGTCCAGGATGGTCCTCGATGGTTCTCGCCGAGAAAAACGGTTCTCGCCGACAAAAAATGCACAGGTCCGAGCGATGCCAAGGCTCTTGCCCCGGACTCCGATACGACTTACTTGGGAATCGCGCTATCGCTCGAGACCTCCTCACGATCCATGAAAGACCGAGGCTTCCAATGCCCGGACGTTCGACCCGGCCGCCAGGGCCGGCCCGCCCGACCTGCCCGTGGGGGCCCGCCCGCCCGACCCGCCCGTCTGGTTCTCCCACTTTAGCTCCTGAGCCCCCTCCCGCAAAGCTCTCTTGTGCTCCATCCTTCTCCCTCCCCCCGCGTCCCTTCCTTCCATCCTCCCCCTCTCCCCCTGTTTTAGAGGCTGCGCCAAGGACACGTGGCAGGTAAAGAAAATACACCCAAAAGAGTACGATCGAAGACGAAAGGGGCGGATATCGAGGGTTCGGGATATACCTGTTGAGTGACACGCGATCAGATAAGAACGAACTATCTTGAAAAAAATTGTCCTGCTGTCGTCGTCCTCGCCCGCGACCCACACACGTCGCGACCCACCCCGCGATCCACCCACGACACACCACGCGCCCGCCCCCTCGCTCTTTCCCGCCACTGCGGGGCGCTACGGTATTCTAAGGGAGGGACCCCCATCCCCTCACGTAGCACTCAGGCGCATACATCGCCTGCCTCCCCCCCCCTCCCGGTTCCCCCCATCCCTCGTAAACCAACTACGCGCCGGTCGGAAGAAGTGGGTTAAAACATGAAGTAGGAAGGCGTTGGAAGTAGATTGGACTTCCACCCGCCCCCTGAAGAGGAGGAAAGAAGGAACACCGCTCGACTCTTGAAGTAGAAAGGCGCCTAGGATTTGGGTATCCATGAATACCTACTTTCAACGACTGGCTTGTATTGACCCGGGCTCCCGAGGCCACGAACCCTCACAACAAAAAGGATCCGAACTGCCGAGGCCACGGTCCCCTCGCGCAAACGGACATCTCCGCGCTCCCGAGGTCCCAAATCCCTGGGAAGAGCTCTGGAGGCCACGACTGCTAACAAAAAGCACTGTCGGAAACTGGAACATGTACATTACCAGTGGCGGGCTGTTTTTTTCAATCCCGGGACTTTTTGAGGGTCGGGGACGACGTCGGGGTGGTGTGGTGTATATTTGTCCCCCGTTTTCCACGGGAAACAACGAAAAATGTATACACCAGGATCCCGTATACACCAGGATCCGCGTTCCTGTGCGAATTTCAGCGCAGGGTCGGAAAAAGCGTCGGTGTATATGGAGTTCGTTTTCCTACAATGGGTTTTCCAAGACTGCCGAAACAGACAACCGAGGCCGTCAAGATGGCACAAGCGTGCCTCCAAAACGGAGCACTGTTGCCCCAAGGCGGCCCAAGCGATGGCCTCAAGACGGCCCACGAGACCCCTCGGCCCAATGGGTCCCCAAAACGGCCCCAAAGGCCAACAAGGGCCCCCCGTCGGGCCCGAATCATAGCTTACCATTTGCTTTTGTTGTTGTTGTTGTTGTTGTTGTTGTTGTTGTTGTTGTCATTTTCACCGCTTCCGGCTTCTGGCAGCTCCAGACGGCACCAAAGGCCTCCACGATGGCCTCGAGACGGCCCACGAAGGCCCCGAAATGGTGTAATACTTCTACCACACCCGGCCTCAAGACAGCCAAAGGTCCCCACACACGGTCCATGACAGCATGAACAGAGCCTCAAGCTGGGCCAAGAGGGCCTCAAGCTGGGCCAAGAGGGCCTCCAGATGGACCCAGGACGGCCTGAAGAAGCCCCTCGACGGCCCCACCACGACGGCCGCAGAATGCACCCCAAACTGCCGAGAGGGCCCCAGGACGACCCAAATCGGGCAGTGTCAGGACTGAGTTCCGCGAGACCTGTTTTAGTGATGTTTGCTTGGGCAAACCTTCCCCAGCTCATGGTGAGGGCATTAGTTAAGGAACCGTTGGACAAGGAATCCGGGGTCTGGAAGCTGGTGGAACACCAATCGTGGATTGGCCACGGATATCACCGCCGACCTCATCAGTTAAGGAATCCTCCAGGGTCTGAAGCCCCCTGGCACATTCCTTAACGAACGCCCCCTCCGTACTTTACGAACTGGGCCTGCCGACACCAGAAAAATACAAGCTACAGCAGAATGGGCTTGGCGGCTCCGGTCCATTTTTTGTAGGCTCTGTGGCCGAATCTCGGCGGCGAGCGAGGGGGGGGAAGCGAGAAGGAGAAGGCCTTCTCAGACGGCGACGGGACCCCTCAGGAGCCCTTGCGCCCTCTGAGAAGCTTTCTGCGTCTCCGAGGAGAGCTTGGAAAACTTACCAGAAGGCTGGGAACTTCCGAGCCTTCTGAGAAGGCCCGCCCCTTCTCACTTCCCCCCCGGGCGCGCCGCCGACAGTCACTAACCGGCTCCCCTTACCCAGGGTCCTGGCTATACCATCCGACAAGAGGGCCCCACGACGGCCCCGAGAGGCCCAGAGGGACCTCCGAGGATGAAGGACTGAAGAGAATTGGCAGACGAGGATGGCGACAAGAGAATCCCCGACACGACGCGGCTAAGTGTGTCACGTGTTACGCTCAGCGCACGCAGCTTGTCTTCCTGAGCTATCCTGCGGGCCCGCGCGCGCCGAGAGGCACTCTGGCGCCTGCTCGGCCAGATGGTGACGTCGGCAGAGGTTGGCGGGGCACCTGACTCCCGACGACTGCTTTCTCTGGACGGGGCTCGACAACTCCTTCCCCCCGTGGAGGGTTGGACGCTCGGGGAAAAAAACGTGTCACATGTTACGGCTCTCCCACGTCTCGTTGCACAAGGTGTCAAACGTCACGGCCTCTTGTGCGCCCTACACACCGCCGCCACCTCAAGTGCTAGGCTGGAGCGGAGGCGGGAATTGCCGCAGCCACGTGGATAAACCAAGAAACGCTACGAACCTCCACAATCCGATACGGCGCCTCTCTGGCCACGCGGTCAACACCTTCTCCTGCTCAAGCAACCCCAACAAATCCCTGTCTACGTAGCATGTCTTCATTCGGAAATCCGTCAAGGTGTAGTCCTCAAGCGACTCACCAGACACTGGCACCACCTCGGGGCGAACTCCTAGCTCAAAATCTGCATCATCATCTAAATCCTGAGGCCAATCCCAACAATCCACATCGTATCTACTGGTGGAGCCGGTCTTCGAGGCAGTGGTGGAATCCCCCTTGATATCGGCGCACTTGTTCAAGAACTGCTGGTAAGCAGCTTCGCGCCTTTCGAAACTCTCTTTGTTCCTATAATCGTACAATATCTCAAAATCAATGATGGGTTTTCCAGTGAACTCGTTGGATTTCCATCCATCGTCGCTGTAATTGCGGCGTACGATAAACGCGAAGCCGAGAACAGACACGACCGAAGACAAGACTGTAGCAAAATTCTGCCATTCGAAAAGCCAGAATAGGAGCTCGTGCTGTCGGCACCCTGTACAGCCAGCATGGTCGCGGCGCATGAACAGCTTGCCCGTCGTGTTGGTGCGCAGTCTGTTAGTCGGCAGCTCTGGCACATGAAAAAAGCATCGCTCGCCAGTGCTGCCCACGATGCCCATCGTCTCAGGGGGCAGGCGAGTCCAATTTCCAGCTGGCTTCATCCGTTCGGTGCCATATAGGGTGCACAGTCCAGCCGCAACCGCTGAGATGGCGTGGCAGTTGCGGTCCGTCACCGCAGCGCACGACTCCATGCAGCCATCCAGCGTCATCGAGTCCTTGAACACCCTCTTCTCCACAGCCGAATAAGGCACCATTCCCCCGTAATGCCTGCTGCTGCTCACAGCCTCTCCGCAAACAATTTTCTCGAACTGGTCGGGTGTGCTCAAATTTGCCGTTTCTACGTCGGGGCACCCGTCATACAAGAAGCAATTGTGTTCGGATAAACTTGTGTCGTTCAACTCTCCCCAGATACCAGTGTCAACAACCTCATCAGCTGGTGCAACAAACGCATACTCACACCAGGCTTTGTGGAGGTCGCACTCCCTCTCGGGAGGATCCCTGCTACACCCAAGCACCGAACCACGCCAGGCCCATCGGGGGCCCAGCTTCGGCGCAAGAGCCTTCCTGGCCTCACCCGTGGGACACGTGATCAGATCCTGGACCGAGGATGGGCCTGGGACGGAACGGCTGGGGGTGCAGCTGGTGTCCTCCTTCCTTTGGCACCGGCGCTCAACATCTTCCCGAACCGGGTCAGATATGCGCACGCTGTGCCCGGGCACCCCGTGGCAAGTCAGGCCCTCCTCGAACGCGTCCATCTCGTGCCAGTAAATGTTGCCACCCAAGAGTGTGACCCAGTCGGGCTTGAAGAAGCATACGGTCCGCCGCTTGTCGGGCATGAAGAGGCGCGAGGGGGGCCACCAGCCGTTGAACTGCGGGCCAAACTCCTCCGCCTCGCAGGCCTGCCGCACTTGTTTTTGCCCCTCGCAAAAAGAATCTCCTGCCCGACGCTCCCCTTCGGGTCCGCCCGCCCGACCCGCCCGTTAGGGTCGGCCCATTCGCCTGCTTGAAAGCCTTCCCGCCCGCTTCAATGACCCGCCCGACCCGCCCGTCAGGGTCCCTCGCCCGACATATACGACCCGCCCGTCATTGTCGGCCCGCCCGACCAGCCCGCTGAGGTCCGCCCGCCTGATCTGCATGGCGGGGTTTGGCCTCTCGTGTTCTTTGGAAGCCCGACCGCCCGCTGTGACGTCATACGTAACCACAATGTCGATCTGAGGGTCAACGATAGGGGGGACTGGCATGGGGGGGATGCATCGATCTGCAATCAGGGATACATCTTCGATAGATCGGCGATAGGCCCCCGATCGCGAAACCGCACCTTCCTGGGCGGGTTGGGGCTATAGGGCCCCTATCGACGATCAATGGGCGAGTGGGGGTCGATGCGTTCCCCCCCTATGCCTATTCTCCCCTATCGTTGCACCTGACAATCCCATCCAAAGAGGTCTCGAGTCTCGATCTATTCCCCGGAAAGTTTGGGCTCTTCAATATTTGGGAACGGACGGCTCCGCGGCACAACGAGTACACGAAAATTGTCAAGCACCTTCCGTCGTTTTTTCACGACTCGAAGGGGTCTGGGTTCGCAGTGCTTTGCAGTTGAGGCGAGAGGTGGAGGAGACAGACAGACCTGCTGCAACTGGTCGCAGTCGCTGTCCTGCAGGGGTACGGTATCGGGGTCCTTGTGGAACACGAAGCGCACTGCCCCCTGGTACGCGCCCTCCTTCGGGGGGGGGCCTCGAGCAGCACGAGGCACGGGTCAGACCCTGAGATCCCGGCTTCGCGGCTGTTTCACACTGGGCGTTGTCGCCCGAGTTCAGGGACCCAGAACCATCAAAGATCGACCCGACTCGAAACCTGCCACACACAAATTCGATGTGGTTGTGATAATCCGCGTCCACTGCCAGGTCGCTTCAACCCCGGCTGGCCGCGCTGGCGCGCTCATCCTGAGACGGTTTCAGCCATGAGTGCCCTTTCCCGCCCCTCCGGCCCTCTGCGGCCGCTTCTCCCCCCGCGCGCCCTGCGGCCGGACGAGCAGTTTGCCACCCGATGGGCCTGTCTTCTACCACCACCATAAGTTGGAGGGGGAGGGGGAGGAGGAGGTGGAGGAGGAGCAGGAGGAGGAGGAGGAGGAGGAGGACGACGACGAAGAGGAGGAGGAGGAGGAGGAGGAGGAGGAGGAGGAGGAGGTGGAAGAGGAGGACCCCCTTCCCCCTCCAACTTCTGGTGGTGGTGGTGGAAAACAGGCCCATCATCACGTGCCCCCGACAAGCCCGAACGCCCGTGCGGATCGCCTCTGCCGTGCTGCGGCGACAAAGGTGGCTGTGGCCGAGATGTGTCGGTGGCCTCAGGGCTTCCGGCAGCACGAGGCAGACGAGGCAGCACGCGCAGGCCGAGGCAGACCCAGACCCCCTTCTGCGCCGTGAACAACATGTCGGGTGTTGCCAGAAGTGCCCCTGGCCCAGGGTGCCCCCAGCTTTTCGCTTCATTTTTGAGCCCCTGGGGCCCTCTGGGCCTCGTGAGGGGTGCCCTGGAGGCCGTCTGGGCCACCCCGAGAATCCTGGGGATACCTTGGGCCAGGGGTACTTCTAGCACCACCCGACAGCATGCGACGGAAGGCCATTCGCCGGGCCGCGGGGGGACGGGGGGCGCTCGCCGGGCCCTGGAACTGCCAGGAGACGGCTCAGGATGAAAAGCCGACCCTGGGGAAAGGGTCCAGACCTCTTGGGGGTGCACGCTGCGAGAAAAAGCATGGCGGCGGGGGTCTTGGGACCTTCCCGGCAGAGGGGGCCTCCGATGCCGCGGCGGCTGGATGTCAACTTGTACGCAGAATTCACCCAAGTCGTTCAAATGAATCCGCCTGTCCTACAGGCCATCGGCGAGCTAGAACCGCCTCTGATGGTTTACAACCACAATCCAGTTTAGACGAGTCCGGGCGGAGAAAACCGTTATATCTCGCCACAAGCCCTCAACAAGCCTGGCGACACAATGCCACACGACAACACCAGGATGGCCAAATAATGTCCCAAGACATGTTCGAGGTGGCTCCACCAACCGCAAGATGGCCCGAGACTCCCCAGGAGACATCCCCTCCCCTTTGTGTCCAATCACTGACAATCCAGCCACTGCTGGACCATTCCCCATCCTGCCTCCGCCCTTGAACCCTTCTCGTCACTCCGTCCTTGAAACCATTCAATGCTGCCGACTTCTGGGCAGCATTAGTTCCAATTCGATCTAATCCTCGGCGAATGCGAGACAAACATCGACGAAATCGGTCACTATGAATACGGTCAGAGAGACGTTCGGAAAGACCCGCGGAAAAATATCAGCCACTTCGCATTTAACCAACTACCAGTGCGAGTGTTGTAGGGGTGTCGTCAGGGCGGCCCAAATTCAACCAGCAAGCGCCACTATGATCCCCTCAAGCCCCCCCACATGTTACCAAAAGGCTATATTGTTCCACGTCCACCAGGGGACGATGACTGCTCTATACGCGAGCTCTGCGCGCCACCACAGCTATGCCTCTCTACAGCGCGCAAGGTCCAACAATGCTCAAAGGAAAAGCCTCTTTGAACTGGGAGACGCGAAACAGCCTTACATGCTCCTCTACGTGTACTACGCGTACCTGGAACAGCGACTTCAAACTGCACGGGGTTCCCCCATGGCAGAGGTGGATCGCTGTGGGGGCCTTCGACCGTGCATTCTTTGCTCCGTGAGATCTCCCCAGGCGACTGACCTCCGGGCGGCCGTGCACGCACCGCCGGGTAGTGATCACGAGGCGCTCCGAACAGATCCCCGGGAGACCGCAAGACGGCCTCGGACTGGCCGCAGGGCGGCCAGATGCAGTTCTTCGCGGGCCCAACAGGCGCCCAAGAGGCCTCCACGACGCTTCCAAGAGACCCCCAAGAGGCCCCAAGAAACTCTCCGAGGCACCCAAGACGCTCTAAGAGGCGTCCGGGACAGCCAAGAGGCCCCCAAGACGCTCCAAGAGGCCTCCGTGGGGGACCCTTCCTCTTTGTGCGACCCACTTCCCTGATCGAGGCAATTCCTCTGGGCAGGTTTCTGGATGGGCTGGTGGGGTCACTTTTGGGTACGCCAGGTGTACGAATCAAATGGACGCCGGGCACGGCTGATTTTTTTTTTGATCGCGAGCGCAAGCGGAAATGCCGCGCGCCGTCCAGGGCGACCGCTAACCAGCAGTAGCCTACATTGCACACTAGAGAAGAGGAGAGGAGAGACAACAGCAGAACTGCGGGAGGTGAGACAAGCCGGGGCGGGCCGCGCGAGCGGGGGGGGGGTATTTTCTTGTCGCAGCCGCAAGCGAAGGCGCCGGCGGCGTCAACGGCCGGCTCGGGCTACGAGCAGATCTGAGTGACCTAGCGCGCGCACGGGCAACTTAGGGCGACCGCTGGGGGACGCTTGGCTGCGCTGGCGGCTGAGGCTGCAAGAGCTGGCGGGGGCTGCCGGGTGGCTTGGCAAGCGTGCAGGCACCCCAGGGATGAGACCGCCAAGATGGATGAAGTGGACCTTGTCGCGCCAGTCGCCAGGAGGTCGACGCGCCACAGCGTGGCGAAGCGAGGGGCTGCGTAAACAGACCAACGTGCTAGGCTGCAGACCAACGTGGAAGAGCACACATGGCCGATCAGCTGGTGGGTTTTTTGTCGTAACCGCAGGCGAAGGCGCCAGCGGCGAGTGAGGTCCGAGCGGGCCGCGCAAGAGCCGAATTGCTTAACACCGACGGGCCGGCGACCTCAGCAGCGCATCGGCGGGCGGGCCGGCGAAACTGGTGGGGTTACTTTTTTAGTCGCGGCCGCGGGCGACAGCGCACAAGGCGAGTCGTAAGTCCGTGGCGCGGGCCTACTAATTGACAACAGCAAACTAGAGCCGACAACCTAAACTGCCTAAGCGGCGCCGCGCGTGAGCTGCAAGCTGTACTGAATGTGGATGCCGAGGCCAGGAGCGGAAAGCGCCCATAGCGGTGACTGCCAGGGTGGCTGCACTGCCAGGAGTGCACACAAGCAACAAACTGCAGAGGGCGGACTGCCAGGGCGGCTGGCTGCCAGGGTCTGCAAGTTGCGATGTGAATTGTAGACAGACGTCACGAACTAATGGATGCGCATGAATTGGGCAGCAGAGGCTGCGGCGCGGCCAAAATGGCGCGTGGGCACCGCGATGTGACCAGTGTGGGCACCTCAGAGCGACCCAAGATGCCTGCCGAGGCCTGGCGGGTGCGAGGCGGCGCCAGCAAAGTCGCACACCCGACCCACGGCCAGAGCGAGCCGCAGTCCGCGGTCAATACCTCAGGATAGGCGCCAGACGCGAGCGACGGCGGGAGAGTGACCACCGACCATCCAGCCGAAGCGCGACTGGTGGGGTTACGCGAAGCGTGTAGAACTTCTCGGAGGCTCCCGAGGGGATACACAGTGGATCCGAGGCATCTCGAGCATTCTCGGCGGCAGGGGGCCCCCACTGAGGCCCCCGCACGGCTCCTGGAGAACCCCACGTAATCTGATCAGATCTCTCGGATGTGCGGGCTCGCGTCCTGCTTCTCCCTCTCCTGTTCTCACACCGTCCATTGATAATGCAGCGTCCAGGGCGTCATCGGCGTGAGAGGGCTGGGCCGCAACGTCTGTGACCTGCGTACTTACCCAGCTGGAGGAATAGGGTTCGGTGTAAGTCGTCAGCGCAGGCACAGGAGAAGGAGGAAGAGGAAGACGAGGATTAGGTCGGGCATGTCCCTCACAGGGGAATTTTGGATGACAAATACCCCCAAATTGACAAATAGTCCAAAAATCGTCCCCAGACTATTCATGGACTATTCTTGAAGATTCCTCCTGTAGGGGGACAGGCCCGACTTCGACGAGGATTCGGAGGAGGGGGAGGAGGAGGGATCTCCTCTTCCCCCTCGTTCCTGTTTCTGGTCAGCTGCAATGTGTAAAAAGGAACAGCTGGGTGACCGCAAAGCAATGACGACCATCCAGAGTCACCAGGGCCAGAGCCCACTCTGAACGAGAACTCTGCTTGTAGATCGGACACGTCCCCCTACAAGGGGATTTTGGACGAAAACTGAAAATACCCCGTTCAAACAGTATCAAAAGAATGCTAAAAAGACCCGCCCCCAGACTATTTTTTCAACTAGTTTTGAATATTCCTCCTGAAGAGACACAGGGCCAGCTTGACTCTATTTTGGCACTGTTTGAAGCGCCTTCGCTCCTCCTGCTCGCACCTGGACCTCAACCGCTCGAAGTCCACGCCACCCGAGTGGTTCAGCTGCTGTGACTCGCCGGTCGTCTGCGACCCGATCCTGATCAGTTTCAGGCCAGGGACGAGCGAGACCAGCCCGCCTCTCGGCATGCCCGATACGGCCATGGTCTGGATGCTGAACTCCTGCAAGATTTTGTACACCACGCCGGCCTTCTTGTGCCCATCATGCTTCTCGGACTCTCTGTGTATGACGTTTAGTATCTTGTCCAGCTCCTTGCAGGTCAACTTCACCTGCACCTCGATGCCGGGGTTGATGCTCGGATCCAGGGAGCAGTACGTGATTGGCCGCCAATAGGTCTTGCAGTACTCACCCTCGGCGTTGCATCCAGAGCTGCGCTCTGGATCGTGGAAGTCCCTCGGCGGGTTGGCCTCCCCAGGCACCCGGCTCATCTGCATGACGTTGGGCACCTCTGAGAGGAAGAGAGAACGGCATAAGCGTAGACTTTCGGAGATCCACGCTTATGTTGCTCCCATCGTACTGAAGGACCACACCCCGGAACGAATTTCGAGCACCCCGAGAAGTATCGAAGCAGTGTCGAACGAGTGTCGCCTCCTAGGGCACGGCACGTGAAAACCCTCAAGTTTCGGTGTTTTCCTGGTGCTCGAAATTTGATCTGGTGATCAAGGCTAGAGTTAGATCGGGCTTCTTAGATCGGCGCTGGACCCCCCTCCCTGGCGCGCGGAAGGCGCCAGGGGTGGTGCCGGAGGCGCCGGGAGGGGGGTCCAGCGCCGATCCGAGAAATCCGAGTGGACCTCCGAAAATCCGAGTTGTGCTTAGTTCGGGTCTGTCCCCCTACAGGCGGATTTTGGACGAAACATCGAACTACTCAACCATACCCCAAAATAGTTACAAATAGTCAAAAATCCTCCACAGACTGTTCATTTGCTGTTTTTGAATAGTCCTCTTGTATAGGGACAGGCCCGACTTAAAGTTATGCAATCTTGTCTGACTCGGACCTCCCAGTCGCAGCCCTTGACCTTCGCCAGGCACACGCTGTCATTGTACTCCTGCGTGCTCTTGCCGACCGCGACGACCTCATAGATGCCCCCGAAGAGGCCGAGGAACGCGAGCACACAAGTCGTCATCGGGCTGAGACCGTCTTGGCTCCGACCCGTGGCCGTGCGCTGAGCCTAGAAGAACAACAGACTACCTACACACTTTACCTCGAGCGATCCCAGCCGTAAGTCGGGCCTGCCCCCTACAGGAGGAGTGTTCAAAAATAGTAAAAAAATAAAATTGAGAAGATTCATTGGGAATCTTACGGGGGTATGTCAAAGTTGTCCTCCAACGTCCCCCTTGTAGAGGGGACAGGCCTGACCTAATCCCAGCCCGAGGACGCGAGGCGGGATACCAAGGGGGCACCGCCACACGTCGGGCCTGGCGGCCGCGGTATGCCGCTCACGCGGGAGGCCTGGCGGCCGCGACGGCCGCCGTTCAACCGAGGGCACGAGGCGGTATACCAAGGGAGCACCAACACACTCTGGGCCTGGTGGCGGCGGTACACTGAGCACACGTTAGGCCCGGCGGCGGCGACATGCAGCCGCCAGTCAACGAGGGCACGAGGCGGTATACTCAGGGAGCACCAGCACATTTCGGGCCTGGTGGCCGCGGTATGCAAGGTGTGCAAGGCGGGTCGGGAGCTCTTTCCCTTGAATCTAACTGCCCAACCTCAGGCGGGAAATGAAACATACGCTGTCAGAGGTCTTCGTGGATATCTTAGGCCGGCGCTGGACCTTCCCTGGTGACGCCTCCGAAGCCTGCCCTGGCGCGCAGCCACGATACCTGCACGGGCCTGCAAACATGTATGCTGGTGCTGCTTCTCCTGTTCGAGAACCGTCTGGCGCTGTTCTTGCTTCTGCTGCCTCGAAGTTGACGTCTCCCCGGCTTTGCTGGGCCCCATCGTCGCGACGGGCACCAAGCACCCAACGTTGGGCGTGCCTTGCGGAAGGCCCTCCTGGAGGGCCAGGTTGTCAGGGTAGAACTTGCCGAAGCACAAGCGTAAGTGTCCCCTGCGTAGAACAGACAATTATAAGGGTACTGGCACCATTCCCCCGTTGTGGCCTCGTTGGGCCTCCTGGAAGGCCCCGTGGCCACGGCCAGATTCGCAGCGAAGGAAACTTCGTCAGGACGCGCCGGCGGAGCGGTCCAGGGAGCGGCGGTATCGGTGTCTGTTCGTTGCCCCACCTGCGCACCCGACGGCAACAACCCCAAGTGTCAACGCGCGAATAGCTCGCCACGCACAAATCTGCGACGTTGAACTGCTGCCTGAAGTCCGACCCGCAATCTTTACGCGGCCTGGAACCGTACAGGCACATCCCGATGAGGACGGCCGTCAAGAGCAGCGCTGGGATGACCTTAGGGAATCTAGTAATTCTCAGAGCAGTGCTTGCACTACTAGGGTTCTTACCTCTTTTCCCCCGCATAACGTCGAGCGCGCGCATACCCGTGGGCACAGACCTGGGAGTAAGTTCAGCGAGAAGCACTGAAACACACACAGACTCAGTGATGGGTCTGTGCCGACTGCTTACGGCGTCCACGATACCCTGGGAGACAACGAAGGTGCCGTCCATGAGAGCGCTCGAAGTGGCCCACAAGAGAGCGGGCAGCAAGATCGAGGGAAAACACAGGATACCAAAAAACGTAAAGACCGCTGGCGCGACTATGCCATTAAGACAACCAAGAAAAGACACCGAAACGACTACTCCGCCGAGCTCTCCCGGAAGGCGTTCTGACCAAGATTTCGATGCGAATCCAACGGTGGCGACGTGGGCCCAAAAGGCGGCCCAAAAGAGGGATAACGATGGAACGGTAGCGGTATGGGTACCTTTTCCTCCTCTGAGTACCAACCCGTCGCCGCCTCGGGCGCGAAATGCCAAGATCCCGCCCAGTGCCCGCCCTCGGGCAATCAGTGATGGTGGGGCGATAGATGGTGGGGTAACAAAAAGGTGCACCTGTCGTGCACTTTTTTCGTACCCCTCTGGGGCCTTGGGGGGCTCGTTCGGGGCTCCTTTAGGGCCCCCCTCTTGTGCCGGCTGGGGCCGCGGGGGCGCTTCGGCCGGATGCCCGCCCGGCGCCGCATGTGGGGGCCGCACCCCGGAGACTCCAGCACACAGCTTGCAGGCATGATTGAAGGGGCCATGGGACACAAATAAGTAGACGCGAATAACAAGATTCCCCATATTTTCTAATATGTTTTTGGTTTTTGTCTTCCCCCCCACTTCCCATATTTTCCCATCGTTCTATTTGTTCGGGGGGTCGACGATTAATTGTGTCTGTGTGTTTTTCCCCTTCTGAGCGAGATGGATCGAATCGAAAGATCGAATCGGATCGGAAACGGGTCGGATCGCCAGGGGATCGTCCCGCATCGGATCGAAATCGGATCGCCGCGCCAGGCCCTGGCTGGCTCCGACCGATGTTGGTGAGACGGACCGGATCGACTCGAATCGGAATCGCGGCCCCAGCTGGCGAATCGAATCGCATCGCATCGAATCGTAGGCGGCACTGTCTTGCACCCGATGGACCCCTTTGCCTCACAGAGACGCAGATAAGACGAAGCCAGGACGAGGATAGAATCGGGTGAGGATAAATCGAGGGTCTCCGAGGTCCGGCGGCGCGGTCGGACTCATTCGCTCCCCTCCGCGTCTTGTGTCGTCTTCTGCCAGCCTCCCAAGCCCTCGCCGGCAGACCCCACAGCATCCCACAGAAGACCCACCCTCCTAGCTCCCCCCTCCGCTAGGAGAAATAACTGCATCAAACTTGTGGCGTTCCGCGCGGATTTCTTGGATCTGAGCAGGACCTCCCTTCCTGGCGCGCGGAGCGCGCGAGGGAGGGGGGCCCAGCGCAGATCCAGCGCAGATCCCTCCCTGGATCGGTGCCGCCGGGGGGGGGGGGGCCCAGCGCAGATCCAAGCACTGCGCGCGGAGCGCCCAAATGTTGACGGCTGTGCCGACGTTTCTTCTTCGATCCGCCTCCGCCACCTGGAGCGGATGAGAGGGCGCGAAACGCAAGGAAGACGAGGGGTTGTATGTTTCACACCGGCGGGAACGGTCAACACCGCATCATGGACCAAGACACGGGAGGCAGGCCCGTGCTCGCACCCGCTCCTCTCCTCGGTATACACCCTGCGAAATGCTTTAGAAATCATGGGTTAAGAAATTCATAGTCTCAGAATTTGAGTAAAAACCCAGAATGTCTATTCAAATCTTAGGATCTACATTGAAACATTAAGAATAATCGAGACCCTGGCCGAAAACTTGGGTTTTCTTAAGCATCGCCTAGAGTGTACGATTACCAGAACCATCGCGCGCGCGCGCCTCGCGCGCGCTCAAGTTCCAGCTGGCTTCTCGGGGCCTCCTCGGAGCATCCTGGACTGCGTCTGGAAGTTGTCATGGGACCTTCTTGGCATGTCTTCGGGGGCCTCTTGGAACTAGTTTTGAAGCATTTCGGGTGCTGTCTTGGGGCCTCTTGGAGCCTCTTTTTGGGCTTTTCGGGTGCCTCTTGGGGCCTCTTGGGGGCCTCTTGGGGCCTCTTGGGGGCTTCCTGGGGGCATCTTCGGGGCATCTTGGGGCGGAGAGCTTGATTTTTCAATTCGCGTTCCCTCTCTTGGGCCCCTCATCTCCAGACCAGCCCAGACTTCTCGAAGACGATCCACTTTACCCTCCAAGGAAACTGGCGCCATGCCATGACATGCTGTGCGGTGCGGTGTTGTGTTCTGCGCCGCCGTGCGATGCCATGCTTTGCGTGGCAATGCTTTGTGATACAATGCTTCAATACGCAATGCCACGCCATGTTGTGGCATGCTACGCTCTGAGGTGCGCCTTCTTGGGACCCTCTTGCGCCGTCTTGGGCGGCTCTGGGGCCGTCTCGGGGCTCTCTTGGCCGTCTTGGGGCCCTCTTAGGCCGTCTTGGAACGGTTTTGGGAGCCTCTTGGGCGGGTTTTTAGCGCCGGAAACACGAAACAGCGAGATTGCAAAAACATGGTTCAAATATAAAAACAACAACAAACATAAAAATCAACGAGTTTGCCCTCTCTGGGCGCTCTTGGGCGGCATCTGAAAGCTTAAAGGCCTCTTGGGGCGTCTTGGGGGCCTCCGGGGCAATTTAAAACGCATCGTGCGTCGCCAAAGACCCCTGGTCGGCGTCTGGGGGTGTCCCGAGACCGCCTGGGGCCGCCGGGATTGCTGTCTGAGGGCTCCCCGGGGCGATTTTAAGCCTCCCAGAAGCGGGCCCAGGCCATGGTCCCCACATTTGTGGTCGAGGCTCCGGCCCTCCGCCCCCGAGCCCGGTGCGCCGTTGTATGTATAGGTCGGGCACGCCCCCTACAGGCGGATTTTGGATGAAAAATCAAAAAATATGCAAAACATACTCAAACATCATCGAAAATATTCGATAAATCGTTCGTAGACTATTTCTTGACTATTTTTGAATATTCTTCCTGTAGAGGGACACGCACGACTTACATGAGGACGGGTGGGTTGGAACAAATACGCAAACTGAGCTAACTACATACATTGGTGCATTCTCGCACTCTGCCCTGGCACGGCTGCGGGGATAAATGGCACTCTTCAGCTCCGCCTCCCTGACATTTCTCGCTCCCCCTTGTGGGGCCTCGTTGCTTTCCCAGCCGCAGTAAAGTTCTGCTTCCGCCAAATTCCGCCGAGCCTTCACCGGGCAGTCCCGACGGGCTGACCCCCTCCTGCTCCCGTACTACGGTCGGGGGTGGAATGGAATGGGCACACGAGAGGACGCAAGACCCTTCCGAGGGCCACTTTGCCACAGGAATGTAAAAGACGGGGGTCGCGAAACACAGGGCACAAGGTACCCTCGATTTGGCAGGTTCGACCTAGTGGTCAACCTCGACTGTACTCCCCGGTTCTCTCCCCGGGTGCTTTCTGACCATGATTTCGAAGTGAATCCAGCGGCGGCGACGAGGGCCTCCCAGGAGGCCCAGAAAAGGGAAAACGGGGGAAGGAGGGTAGCGGTATGGGTACCTTTTCCTCCTCCAATCTCCTGTCCCCGTAACGCGTTCCGCTCGCCGAACCGCCGCCCGGCAAACCCAGCAAACCTCCGCCGGCAGACCGCCGCTCCACATCCGTGACTCTTGCCATGCACCTCCGCCAAATCCCGCAAGAAACTCCGCTGGCTGTCCACCGCACGGACTCCGTGACATTTGGCATGTCTGGGGAAGCACATCATGCGACCACCGAGGCACGTTGATGCCAACATCATGTACCACTGGATGTCCTTAACCATTGTGGCTCAAGGTGAAAAATAAACATCGTCTGCTACACCTTGGTGCGCATGTCTCACCTTGTGAATGGCTGGCCGGCCCCCCGCCTCTGGGTGGCCTCTCGGGGCCCGAGGTCAAGGAGAAAAAGGGGCCACTAGCAGTGGAGCTTCGAATCATCGAATGATACACGCGCTATCGTTTCCCCCCCCCCGGTCCGTCAAATGATCGGCACTATGTGTTCATGCATTGGCCGAAAACCTAAAATGTCACTGCTATTTGAGTCCTGGTCGAAGGATACCGTGTGGACCCATGTGGACCACATTACAAGACCATTGTGATTCACACCATTTCAAAACATATCTTTTCAAACGGATTTGAAAGGCATGGGAGTCCACCCACACATTGCTGGGTCTCTAGGCGTGTGAGACTGTTCCCCCCCCATAAGCCCCCCCCCCCCCGGGACCCCAAACCGGCAATTTGACCCCCCCCCCGGCCCTGGACGACCCTCCGCTGAACTCACTGTCGGTCTGGGCTCCCCAGGCTCGGCTTGGAGCCTCTCCAGACGCCCCCAAGACGGTCCAAGAGAGCACTAAGTTGCCGACTGATCGCTACAAGACGCCCAAGATGGGCCCAAGACGGCCCAAGAAGGCGCCAAGACGCTCCAAGAGGCCTCCAACAGGCTTGCGAAGAGAGGCACGCGAGGCCAGCATCGGCCCATTCCTTTGGGAAACCATACATTTTTTGCATGTACGATTCTTCGGCCTTCATTGCGTGGAAAACTGCGCACGCAAGACCGCCCCAGGAGGGCCCAAGAAGTTCCCAACAAGGCCCCAAGACGGCACAAGAGGGCGCCAAGACGGCCCAAAAGGCGCCCAAGAGGGCCCAAGAGAGCCTCAAAAGGGGGAGCCCGAAGCGGAAATCCGAGCCTTCTGCGTCAAGACGCTCCCAGGAGGACCCAATATGTCCCCAAGAGGCCCCAAGAGGCTTCCACAACGGCCGCCAAGAGGACCCAAAAAGGCCCCAAGAAGCCCCAAGCCCCCTAGAAGCCCAAAAGAAGCTCCAAAACGGCAGCCAAAAAGCGCCCAAACTGCCTCCAAGAGGCCCGCGAACCACAGAGACGTCAAC